AGTTTTTTTGCTTGATTATTTTGATATTTTTATCGTCAAATTTTTCTTTCTATTATGCTCATTATGCACCAATCATATTACTTGATACAAATTTAGTTGGAGTTAGTAGACATTGGTTAGTAGACATATACGTTCAGTTGATCGGAACCAAGAAAATTTGAAGGAAAACAAATTAAGTTGATCGAAGATTAAATTGAGTTCAAAATTGAATTGCAGTTTACAGGAACTCTGAATTGAATCATGTTGGAGTAAATGGATATAAGGGCCTCTTTCACCAATCTTTGGTTAAGCTAACCGACGGTTAATTTGATCATCATGATTGCCAACACTGAGAACTAAATTGTTTATTATAGATAAATGTTAAAATTTTTATTTAAGCAAATGATTGTTTAATAATTTTTATTTACATTAATTATTGGATATTACTTACAATTTCATCTATCTATCAAGATAATTACACATGAAAAGAATATTAGGTTAAAGAACACACATTACTTTCTGAGCATTGAATTACAATTGGCACCCCTGTGGGTTAATCGTCAGTTAACTTAACCGAAGATTGATGAAAGAGATCCTTATGTCCGTTTTTACTATTTTGGCCTTAATCTCCAGGTTAATAAAACTTCCATTATAATTAAACTAGGATTTAATGCTGATTGGTTTCTACAAACGTTATATGGTAAATGTTTAGCTAAACTTATAACTTATATGTCATAACTCTGTAAACTTAGCAGCTTGAACATTGATTAGTCCAATATTGGCTCTAATGGTATGTGTATTGTAAATACATAAAGAACATAATATTGGAAAGAGATAATATAAAAATAATAGATAATATAGATAAAAATAATAGATAATATAAAAATTAATTTAAAAATTAATACAGGAAACATAAATAACAAACATAAATTTTTTATATAAAGAGTTGAAATAATATTTTTAAAAAATAGCAATTATGTGATTGTTATATTTAAGTAAAAATGTTTTTATAATAATATAAGAAATGTTTTTCTTTGTGATAAATAACTAATAGTTATGTTTCTATTTGAAGTAGAAATGTTTCTACAATAATATAAGAAATGTTCTTCTTTTGCGATAAATAACTGTGATAATGGTTATGTTTTAGTTTGAAGTATAAATTTTTCTACAAAAATGTTTTTGTGATAATAACTGTGATGGAAATTTTATTTTAAAATATAAATGTTTTTTTTAATATAAAAAATATAAGAAAATATAAAAAATATATAAGAAATGTTTGCAGTTTTATCATAATTGTAATAACTTTAATATAAAATATGTAATGCAAAATATTTGTGTTAATATAAGTAAAGGTTAATATAAATAATAATATAAGAATCATTTCAGGTTAATATACTTTATTCTATGTTTATGTTTCATAATTTTATATAACAGTTTTTGAAAATTAAAATAAAATAACATGAATAAGTATAACTATTTTTCTTATAATTATACACATTATACTGTAAGAATTAGATGACCGTAAGCGGTCATGAAAGAGATTCGGAATATAAATAGCTAACAGAGAGGAGCCGTCGTGGTCGTGCAGACTAAGTGTCGGATTGGTAGACGAGGGATCCCGAGTTCAAATCCAGTCGGTCTCCGTTAATTTTTTCCGAGTCTAATAGATATCTTTCAATCTCAGAAGTGGGATTCAGCCTATGTTACCTCAGAGAAGATTCAGCCTATGTTACCTGACAAGTCGATCGTTCAAAAGTGAACGGAAAAAGTCGGGGGTAGTATTCCAAAGTCGTGTCGGTCGTTCAAGAGAAATGAACGGAAAAAAGTCGCGGAGTAGTACTCTAAAGGAGTCGTGTCGGTCGTTCAAGAAGTGATCGAGATCGGGAGCAGAAGCTCCAAGTTTCGGATAAAAGTCCGATAGAGGGAGGAAGACTCGGTACATTCGGGACGAATGTAATACCAGAATGGCCGAACTGTAAGAATTTAGACGACCGTAAGCGGTCATGAAAGAGATTCGGAATATAAACAGCTAACAGAGAGGAGCCGTCGTGGTCGTGCAGACTAAGTGTCGGATTGGTAGACGAGGGATCCTGAGTTCAAATCTAGTCGGTCTCCGTTAATTTTTTCCGAATCTAATAGATATCTTTCAATACATTATTAAAAGTTGAACAATAAATTAATGAATGCATAATAGATACGAATAACAGAATCAAATTATGGAAAATGATAAAAGAACAATGTTAAAAAATTGAAAAATGTTGAAAAATAATTAAAATTTATAATATATCTATTTAGTTTTATTTAATTCTATTGCACAGATGCTTCACTGTGATATTTCTTTCCTGCTACATAGACCCCGATAGCAAAACTTGTAAAAACAGATTTTGAGCAGAGCCTACTACCAATACTTGATGACAAAAAAGCAACAAATTGCAGAGTCTGTAATATCTGATATTGTGAGCAAACTGCCTTCAAAAATAGGACAAAGCTTACCGACATGCTATGCCAGTAGATCACTAGCAAAAACCGAGCAGAACCTGTTATCAACGTTTGATGGCAAAAAGGCAACAAATTGCGCACAAAATCTGTAATATCTGACAATGTGAGCAAACTCTCACATTCTCTCCTCAAAAATATGACAAAGTTTGTTGACATGCTATGCCAGAAGATTGTTAGTAAAAACCGAGCCAAACCTGCCAACATGCTAGCAGATTGGCAACAAAAACCGAGCAGAGCCTATCATTACGCATATTTAAACACAATAATTGGAAAACTACCGCTAGATGGCGTCCGTTTCTTGCATGCAAAATTTATCAAACTTTCTATATAAGTGAAATCATAATCAAAACTTAAACATGCATTTATTATTTATGTATTTTTATGTATATGTTTGATACAATAATCATCGTAATAAGGAAGTTAGGGCAAATTCTGTTCAATTTTTGCCGCCAATCTGCATAGCATGTCAGCAGACTCTATTCGTTTTCTGTCGCCAATCTGTTCGCACAGTATGTCAACAGGCTCTGCTCAGTTTCTGCCGTCAATCTGCTGGCATAGCATGTCAGCAGGCTTTGTCGACAAATCCCGAGCCTAATGCGGACACAGATGGCTATGGATGGCTATTTGCAGTCAATATCTGATCGAATTTGTTGCCAATCTGCTAGCAAATTGCTATTATTTTGTTTGCTGAGGATAAAATATTTTTTTTGTTTTTACATCTATATTTTTACTTTATTAACTCATACTTGTATGATCTTTGTATTATTTTTCGTTTTGAGTTTTTTTTTATTTTTGATAATAATATATTTTATATTTTTGTTATATTAATTTAAGTATAGTAAGTATAGTAAGACGTAATAGTTTATTAATTTATCACAAAAAGCTGAAAAAGGAATAAAAAGGTTTTTTAATATAGTAAATAATTTATAATTATAAAAGTGTATTTTGTAATAATATGACTAATATTAATGTAATTCAAATTACATATTAATCTACTGTGGCGGTCCCCCGCTCATACAACTAATACCTAGCAAAAACATTCACGAAAAAGAACCATGGCCCGCATGGTGCCAGTGGTAGCGCGCCAAGTCTTAGACAGCTGAGGACCTAGGTTCGAATCCCACCACGGCCAACATCTTTTTTCCGTCATCAAATTCATCACATCGTGGACAACGCTCCTCACCAAACGCCACACTACTAAACCAAAAAAATGATTAAATAAAAATTTTTAGATAAAAACTTTATATATTTGACAAAATAATTATAAATTATTTCTGTTCGTCACATCAATAATTTCGTTGTTATGATTTGCATGCTGATTAATTCTTTTCTGTTCAATAATATCTTTGTCATTCGAGAACGATAATATAACGTTATAATGTGCCATATCTAAAATTACTAATTATATTTTTTAACCACAATTTAACTACTTCTAAAATCCACCGGCCAAAATCGACCGTTTAAATTAAACTTAGTTTTCATAAGTTTAAACTTGAGCAAATCATTGATTAAAACATTTCGTTAAACTTTGGTTAACCGAATGTCATTAGGAATTAACTCTTTAAACTGCGTTGGTAGAAACGGGCATTAGTGACACAAGTCGACACAAGTATCATTTTATCCTTGTTAAGCATTGGTCTAGTTTCCATCGGTCTTCAATTCGATTCTACTTTGGTATGGATCAAATTTAATATCCTGTTTCCATTGAAAATATAGATTTGTGGATCGAAGCGGATGTTACGTTTCGAGATGGCAAACGATGGTAGAACGGTTAATGGAATTTGGGAAGGGATATCTAGTGTATTTATGTTCAATGGCGATACTGGATATGATTAAACTATATTTTCGGATTGGAACCCGCGATCGAGCGGAAATTGCGGAGAAATATGTTTTGTTAATATAATAATCGGGATATGATATTGTATTGTAAAGTTACGATTGTTGATGTAATTGGTTATGAAATTATGATTCAAAGTTATTTAATATGACAGAAAGAAGTGATTTCTTGAATTATTGTAAAATATTAAATGTAACACGAATAAATAGTTACATTAAAATAATAATAATTAAAAAAATAATAATTATAATAATATAATAATAGTAATGAAAGTATTAATGAGAATTATATCGTGAAATATAGTGATGAATAAAATAATGCCATAACATCGGAAATACAGGTTTACATATATATGAATATTTGATCTATGCAAAAGATGAGGGTGATATAAGCTTAATTATATGTGAAATGGGAATGGAAATCAGAAAATATTAAATAGAAATGATAAAAAAATAATGTATAAATTCAAAAATATACGATTGAGGAATATTAATATACACATATATATATAAACAGAGATATTGACGTTGAACATAGATGTAATACTGACGTAGATGTAATAATAATATGAATGATATACAACTTAATCAATATAAAAATACCAAATGTGTAATAATAATGAGATAAGATGTGAATATGATAATTAAATTCTAAGTTCTCTCTGAAATTTATATAGGTAATGATATTAAAACGAAGTGAAAATCAATAATATAATATAAGCAAATCAAATAATACGATGTAGTAAAAGGGCAGTGAGAATCAGCGCTGTTTACGATGCGCAATTTATATTCTTTATTACAATTTAAAAATGTATAGCATACGTTTCGACTCTAGTTTGAGTCATCCTCAGTGTAAACAGAAATTAAAGATACAGTACCGTGTTCACCCGACATGTTCACTAACGTTAATTTCGCTAACTCGAATTACTATGATTGCACCGTCATGTCATCCTTGAAAGATAGGACAGTCATCCTTGAGAGAAAGAGATAGAACAGTCTTTAAGGGTTGTCAATAATCGAATGGACACGGCTCACACAAACCGAACAAAGCACGCGCAGGAGCGGTTTGCACCGAGCAGCACACCAACAACGCCTCCGCATGCCTAGAGCTCCAGGCAGTGACTGAACGCGGTGACTCTACAGGTTAACAACTTGTCAGCAAAACAAAGTCGGGCTACAATTTCTGCTCAAGACAGAAACGTATGCGTGGTGCAAGAATTCAGTATCAGACTGTGAATTCAAACAATTATTCTGTCTCTTAATAAAAAGCATCTCTGAGATCAGCCGTTTCTGCAAATTACGTTCACAGTCTAATACTTTCACACTGTTTCAATCAAAATCATGATCGCAATTCAATCTATGTTCGGTAATGACTGAATGTGTGTTCCTACGTATATGATTCTGGTGTTCATGCAATCTCGTTTTTAATTGTCTCATTGTCTGTCCGACATAGCACGCATCACAGCTGCCGCAGCAAATCTTGTACACTACATTCCTTTTGGAATGTGCTGGTAGAGCCTTATGAACCCTGATAATGCCTCTCAACTTATTCATACTGAAATACGCGGGTTTTGCGTTAAAATCATCAATAATTTTTTTGAGTTTAGTCGCAATTTCCGGAACAAAGGGTAGAATGAATCATTTTGTTCCTTGTGATTGCACTGTTGCATTTGATATTCTTGATTTATCTTCTCGCCTGAATAAAGTTTTTAGTCTCGAATGGATACTATCAAAGATAAAGTTGAGAGAGTAATCATTCATTAATAAAGTCATAATTACCAAATTCAAGTTTTTTTGGTGATTTTTAGAGTGAGACAATAAGGACGCTCTGTCGACGAGTCTTGAACAAATTCCTGTCAAGAAGTATCCCAAAGCCTTTAATACATGTAGAAAATAGTTTTAAACTTGCTAACAAGTTGTCTGGCATACAATTGATCGATGACCACACACTTGTTTCTTTCGACGTGGTCTCTTTGTTCATCAATGTTCCTATCGATCTATCAATTGACACTATTGCTAAGCGCGGAGGAGATATCTCGAAGAATTACAACATCCCCAAGGATGAATCTATAAGCAAACCTTTGGAACACCCATGGATTCCCTATTGTCTCCGATCATGGCTGATTTAATATTAAGAGATTTGGAGGAGAGTGTGCTTAAGGATGTGAGGGCACATTTATCATTCTTTTATAGATATATTGATGACATTGCAATGGCCATTCCTTTCCGATTGATTGATGAGATTCTTGGAAGGTTCAACTCGTACCACCCTAAATTATAATTTATTACTGAGGTGAGGGGGGGGGGACGAGTTGAATTTTCTCGATTTGATCTTAAAAGTTGTTAATAAAAACGTCGAGATTGGTTTCATAAACTCACATTCTCGGAAAGGTACCTCAATTTTTACTCCCAGCACCCTCTCGTCCCAAAAAGAGGCACTATTGTTGAACTCATCGACAGAGCGTTTTTATTGTCTCACCCTAAATATCACCAAAAAAACTTGAATTTGATAATTACGACTTTATTAATGAATGATTACCCTCTCAACTTTATTTTTGATAGTTATCCATTCGAGACTAAAAACTTTATTCAGGCGAGAAGATAAATCAAGAATATCAAATGCAACAGTGCAATCACAAGGAACAAAATGGTTCATTCTATCCTTTGTTCGGAAATTGCGACTAAACTCAAAAAAATTATTGATGATTTTAACGCAAAACCCGCGTATTTCAGTATCTATTTTATCGATTGTCGCCGATAATATTGTATAATACTTCAAAATGTCTGATATTACTATAAAATTACCTTTTTTTTAAAAAAAGATAAAAAAAGGGTATCAAGTATAGTGGAATACTTCAAAATATCTGATATCACTATAAAATTACTTTTTTTTAAAAAAAGGATGTCAAGTATAGTGGATATTGTCAACTCAAATGATTGTGTAAAATTTATATAAAAGATTTGATATCAATAATTGGCGCCAAGTTATAGTCTTACAAACATGGAGCTACAAATCCATTTTAGTCAAATTATATATTTCAATCGTATAAAAGATTTGATAAACCACTGTTTTAAAAAAATAAAACTCAAGTAGTAGTTTCTTTAATTTAAAAATAATAAAAACCAAATTATATGTATATCTTTTTATCCATTAAAAACTTATTTTTCTAATCCAAGTGGTAGTAATTATTTAGCTTTAAAATATTATATCACAAAATTGCTTTACTCAACCTACGTTTTTATCACAAAGAATTATAAAATAACAGTATAAAATAAATGATAAAATTTTATTTAAATAAAATAAATTTTTATGTAAAAATACTTGGCGCTGCTCATACCTCGAAACGTATGTTATATATTTTTGTAATAAAGAATGTAAATTGCGCATCGTAAACAGCGCTGATTCTCACTGCCCTTTTACTACATCGTATTCAATATCATTTCATTAATATAACAAATCAAATAATATAATATAAGCAAATTAAATAATATAATATAAGAAAATTAGTAGTATAATATAAGCAAATCGAATAATATAATATGAGAAAATCAAATAATATAATATAGGCAAATCAAATAATATTTCAAATAGTATTAGAAGCAATGATTACCTTAAATTGTTAGAGGTAAGTTATTAAACGTATTAGAATTCTAATTTCCTTTTTCTTTTCTTTTATTTTTCCTTTGTAATTATAAAATTCAGCGGTTTGAGACAGTGATTGCACTCTCTGACGATTTGATAACGACTGTTGCGTCTAAGCCGTATCTCTAGGATAGGGTCCGATGCAAAGGGGAGGGGCAAACAAAGCACTCCTCGACTGAGCATTTTATTTCATACTACGGTTATTTACGCGAAAATAGGAAAAGATAGATGGAAAAGAAAAAAAAAAATAAAGCTAAGACCTAATATTTTTTGAAATATTCGTTAATGCTTAATAATAAATCTTATTATTACAAAACGAGAATTCATTTAACGTTTTCGTCAGTTAAATTTTTGTTGCGCAACGAAAGACTCTCCGAGCTAGCCTTTC